AAATACGTTGATATTCAACGTCATTTCCCTTCTTTGTAGATGTGCTAATTGTATTTGATTTTGCCCATCCTGTTAATCTCTTTCGATACTTGCACTCCTAGTTCGTTAAAAAGGGATCGATCGGTGCATACGATTTTGCCATATTAAATTATTAAATACAATTATTTAAGTTTGACGATTACGTTCAAAGTTCAAGACTTCAAAAGTTGATTAGTTTTTAAAAGTTTACTCAGAGTAAATCTATAAAAGGTTTGATTCAGTTAAAGATATATTTTTTTATAATCGATGTTTTTCGGTGACGGTTTATGTAATACTATATTCAATCTATTTGTTCAAAAGATACTTTTTATATTAACAATATCTTAAATCAGGCAAAAGGGTTCATTAAATATGACGTTGCGACATAATTTGGATAATGTGTTTTTGTGTTAAGTAACACTCTTCTTTATTAAACATGCATGAAATACTTGTCACTGAACATTTAACAAACGTCAACAAATCAATAAGGAACATTTTTCAAGATATCATTAATAAAAGGTTTAAAAAGGTGGTTATTTTATTTTTTCTCCTAACGGAAGATTAAATGGTTATGTGAGAGGTCAAACGATTAGGTAAAGGAAAACAGATAACTTAGGAAAAAAATAATTTGGCCAAATCAATGAACTTACTATTTTATTTTGATTTTACAACATTTTAGACTTCATAAAATATGTTGCAAAATAGTATTCGTTAATCATACTTGCAAGATATAAGAAAGATCTACTACACCACCGCGTTGGTTATGTGATTTATTCATTTGGAAAAGATTATTTTTAAGGTTTAAATGCGAGATTAACTGAACTTTTTTTAAAATATGAAAATTGAATTTTCGAGAATGGTCAACTGTATAAAGTGGTAGAATCTTTAATGATTTGATGGAAATGTCAAATGAAATTTCCCGAATAGACATGACTGAAATTTATCAATGTGTTGTATATTTGTAATACTTTGAAAATTAGAGAAAAGACAGTACCTCATTTATATTTACACAAAAGTGCTTTCAGTGGCATTTTTAAATGCGATGTAATTTGTCCACATTTATTGTTTTCAGATTTTTTCAGATTTTAATGTTTGTTCTTATTTAATTAATGCTTATAAATCTATCGTTTTATGTACACACAATTCTTTTATTTACATCAGAAAGTAACTATCATTTCATGTTGAATTACATAATATTTTACAAGAAGATTTTTTCTTTGAAGATGAATTGAATATATAATTATAAATTCAAACTGTACATGTTTGAGATACATTTTATATTTGTTTAATTTATTACTTCTCATCAAAAGAACCAATATATCTCGTATATTCAGCAATAAAAATGTAATTTGTTTATTCGATGACAATTTAATATCATTTAAAGAAACATATGACCTACTATTACATATAAATTGTAAGATTTGGACCGCCTATGGACAAATATTGTAGGTGTAGACAAGTTCTCATTGCAGTACATTTCAATTATTATCTTTTGATTACTGGTGAAATCGCGTGCAAAAGTAGACCATAGTTTTATTCCAAAATTATCAGTGTACACACGATGGAAGCTACTGTTTAGCAAAATGTGAAATAAAGATGTACTCCATTATGTCAAGTGTAATATTATATCTACTATGACCCCAAAGGCAGACACTTACATTCATCTTTGCCTACTACGAAAAGGGTTCTACACGCATCCTTCCCTACTACGACAGCAATGGGGTACTAACACGCATCCTTTCCTACTACGCCAAGGGTGGCACCTATACGCATCCTTTCCTACTACGACAACAAAGGGAGTACTAATACGCTTCCTTTCCTACTACACCAAGGGTGGCACCTACACGCATCCTTTCCTACTACGGCAGCAAAGACGATAGTAGCACGCATCATTTTCGACTACGCCAAGGGTGGCACCTATTGCATCTTTTACTATTACGGCCTCAAGGAAGTCACTTACACGCATCCTTTCCTAATACGCCAAGGGTGGAACCTGTAGCGTCCTTTACTACCACGGTCCCAAAGGGAGGCACTTACACGTATCCTTTCCTACTATGCCAAGTGTGACACCTGTAGCATCCTTTACTACCACGGTCCGAAGGGAGGCACTTACACTTAACCTTTCTTAATACGGTACCAAGGAAGGCACTTACACGTATCATTTCCTACTACGGTCCCAAGGGAGGCACTTACACGTATCCTTTCCTACTACGGTATCAAGGGAGGCACTTACACGCTTCCTTTCCTACTACGGCCCAAAAGGGGGGGGGCACTTCCACGCATTCTTTCCTACTACGGTACCAAATGAGGCACTTACACGCTTCCTTTCCCACTACGCCAAGGGTAGCACCTTTATCATCGCATCCCTTACTACTACGGCATCAAGGGAGGCACCTGCACGCATCATTTCCTACTACGATAAAGGAATCACTTACACGCATCATTTCCTACTACGCCAAGTGAGGCACCTAACCATATCCTTTCCTACTACGATACGGGGGCACCCAACTACATCATACCCTACTACACCAAGGGAGGCACTTACGCGCATCCTTTCCTACTTCGACAAGTGAGGCACCTAACCATATCCTCTTCTACTACGCCACTGGAGGCACCTAACCACATTCTCTCCTACCTCACCAAAAATGAAAAAAAGAGGGGGCGCTTACATGCATCCTCTACTTCAGGAGGCTTTATACCATAATAACGATATCCAGCATCAAACCCTGGCTATATATTTCGTTGATATCGTTTAACCTTGGGTTTTCAATTTAGAGCACGATCTCCCTTCCAAAATTACAGATGCACCACTCTAAATTGAACTCTTGTCTCAGCAAGACTCTGCTCCGCCAACTGGATAATATCGTAACGCAAATTATTGAAAGCGGCTACAAATCTACTAAATCAAGGAAAAACTCAAATAAAATTATAAGCCTTACAGTTGTTGGTTCATAAGTAAAAATCGATTCGTTGTTTGAATAAATGGAGATTTGCTGTATTAAAGGAGAAAGCAACCCACGACAGAGTCAAAAAAAGGTATTGGCTGAGAGGTCAACATACAGTCTTGAATGGTAGATAACAAACATACCATATGAAAATCATAATCGTCCTGAATCTAGACTAAATCTCTTCATTTGATTGTTTAGATCGACCCTGCATTGTATTAGCTATTAATCCGTACAGTTCATACATTGGTAAGGGTTGGAAACTGGAGTAACCGATCAACTGAATCACTGACTTCGATGATTTATTTAGCAACTGACAAAAATTGCAGAAACTAATATATCCTGATGACCTGCAGAATTTGCAAATGATCAGCGCATTTCTTGAACTCGTACTTTAAAACATGCTTCATGGGTATGCTTGGTTTTTTTTTATTTGTGTGAATTTCAGTGGCCATTATTTCGTGCTTATTCTGGACCACAACAAACTGAACAATAAATCTAATAATAAGCAACTTCAAAAAATAAGTAACTTCAATGCGGATCTTCCAGATGAAAGGTGTTTTAGTTTGTTTTGCTATATTTATTTTGAATATTGTCTAATATACATCTGCGCAATGTATTTTTATTTCTCTTTAATTATCTTAGTAAAAACCCCTTTCATGATCAAAATAGATATACTATACATGTATGCACAAGATAAGATTGTAATAGCATTTATCTTGATAAAATGACAGAAGTGTAGGAAGGCATGATTTCTATATATAAGCAGGTTAAGTACTTTGACCCTGCTTTCAGTTACTTTACAGCATTCCTCGTTATGGTATTATTCAATACTGTTTTATTTGTGCAGGTGTTTTATTATCTTTTATCTCGGTATTATCTCGGTATTAAAGAGTTATAATTTAATTTTATTTGTAACTTTCGGTATTCCCCTGATAAATACATAACGGGTTGCTGAGGAAATTAGAACTTAATCCCCCCTCCCCCTAACCCAACATGTTGATGTTCCTTTTTCGTATCGGATGCCTTGAGGTGGTTGTTTTTAGTTATTTTAATGTTTTTTTTGTGTGTGTAGGAAATGTGGTATTGGTGTCAGGTCTTCAACGCAGATTTTATTCCAAATAATTGATCAATTGGCAGTCTACTTCTGGAATAGGTGCGATTATAAGCTTTTAATATTGTGTCGTTGGATTTCTGTCTCATTGACGAATTTCCTACATCTCCTTTATGTTCACATCCACAACCATAAAAACAATTTGTAACCCAAGGTTTGACTGGGGAATAGAAATGTGTTCACTTGTACTTTTACCAAGCTACATAAAAACCCATGGTAGTTCGTGTGAATATTGGGATGTATAAATACTTAGCCACGTCTGGTCGGATGGGGACGTTAACTCTGATGCCGAGTGTAGAATGCGATGTCAACAAACTTTGCAAAACTAATTCATTGATGATCTCGTCCTCAAAATGCATGAAATATTTGTCACTTGACGTTAATCAAGCAATAATCAAGCATACAAACATACAAACTTATGCTTTTTTCACTTCATGTGTAGAGATATAGTGGAAAAAATAATAGAACAGTTTAAGTATTCCCTTTTTAGCACAAAAGTTGCTACACAAGGACACGAGTCTTGACATTAAAGAGGCAACAATCAACCAAATCATGACACTTTCGCAACACTTGGTATCGGATTTAACGTCCCATTGCAACCGAATGTGGCTACGTATTTATAAAACGGACGCTCATATGGTAAGGTTCGAAGTAAAGAAAACCAAATTACTTTACCAAAGTCATCCTTGGGGCGAACATGATACTTTTAATCAAATACAGACATAAATAGTGTCGCTAAGGTATTTTTTTCATCATCATCATCATCATCATCATCATCATCATCATCATCATCATCATCATCATCATCATCATCATCATCATCATCAAAGCGTCACGTACAAATGCACTTGCAATATACCTCTTAATTGCAGCTTTAAAAATACGAGACAACATTTGTCAGTCATCTTATTTTTGTATTTTAGTTACGAATTGAAACATCTGCAACTCTTGACACAAGATCCCTTCAATGGCAAGAGGGTTGGTTCAAAGTTAGTGATGGTTCTGTATCCCTGGCAACAGAAGGCCCATACATCATGAAGAAAGTGCAGAAAATAAAAAATACAAAGTAAGTTTAATTGGTCATGTTGGTCGATGGAAATGTAAGTTCTGCTAAATAAACTATGACAAATTTATTTACTTTAAAATTTGTACTCTTTAACTTAAACCAAATATGTTCTGAATGATCTAAATTTAAATTAGAACACCGGTACTGTGTCGCATAATTTTACACGAGGACGGAAGTGTAATTACTGATTCCAAATTAGGCAATACAGAAAGAGTAGATGGAATATGATAAAATACTAACAGAAATGTCAACAGTAAATACATTGGACAAATTTAAAGTCAAACACGCTGACAGGAAATGTCCTCAAATTTTTCCTTGTGTCTAATCAATTAGCGGGGTAAAAAGTCATTCGAAAAAGATTTTCTTGATAGTCAAATTTATGATGAAAGCAGATTACTATTCATAATTGATTAAATACTCGTGCTTCATTTAGCAATGTCAACTTTACCCACACAGCGTCACGTTAAGAAAAAAAAAAGAACAGTTACCGAGGAATATTGACTTCTCTACAAAAACATTTATGATAAACTCTTTGCAAACAATAGATAAAAAAACCCTAATTTAAATGAATGACAAGTCGAGTTTTAAAAAAACAACAAGCTGAAGAGTTAAAAGATTGTCATAACAAGTTTTTAACCTTTATTTGCACCCAATGTTATACATCAAGCTTAAAATGTATAATTCATAAAATGGATAAGTGGAATCATCAAAAGTATTTCGACCGTTACAAAAGAGCACACATTTAAGTATTGAATTCTTCTTTTTGTAATTTTATTGGGGTGTAAAAGCGTTGACTGAAGCACATATTGTATGAAGCATACTAAAAATGTGCGCACGATCATAGCTTTGACAGCCACATATTAAGAAAAAGAAGCATTCATTTCTAATAATTATATCTTAAATGCTACAATTGTAAAATTACAAGTTATATCAAGATTTGTGTTTGCTTGCCTATGCATTAAATTTTAGTGACCTTATCAGACGTTGTTTCTTTGTATTTGTCTTTGTATATTTGTAACCTTTACTGTTTAATCAATATTTGGTAATATACTTTTGACGTGGCTCAGTATTTATACGTCTCGCCATTGTGTTATTGTGCTATGGTCATTTTTATATTCTTATCTTCTATTTTTGCTTATGTACTTTTTCTATAGAGTGTCTATATGCCATTTTTTTTTCTTTGTTGAAAAAGTTTTTTTTTTGTTTTTTTTTATAGTGATTAAGATTATATGACTGCTGTACCCCAATGTTTGACATTTTTACCTATTATGTCTGTTTCTTTTGATCACACATTGTTGTCAATATAATGGAATTCTATGCGACTGTCATACAAGTGAGAGGTTTAGCTAGCTATAAAACCAGGTTTAATCCACCATTTTCTACATAAGGAATTGCCTGTACCAATTCAGGAATATGACAGTTGTTTTCCATTCGTTTGATGTGTTTGAGCTTTTGATTTTGCCATTTAATAAAAGACTTTCCGTTTTAAATTTTCCTTGAAGTTCGTCATTTTTGTTATTTTACTTTTTTCACGGGAAGCACGTACAGTCATGAATGTTGAGAAAACACTGTACAATTTGATTTGTAAATACCTCGCGAATGCTTTCAGCGAATCAAAGGCACGGATTCTCATGAAGCATACATGCAATTTAATTATACCACATGTTGGGGTTGTACATTGAAACACATTTTTATTTTTGTATTTTTGGTTTCACTGATTTAAGAACTATATTGATGTATATATATTAAACCGAAATTATTTTAAAGAATATTTTTGTTTCGTTTTAGTTACAGACCTCACAATATCAAGTCAAGTAACAGCAAAGTACCTCAATCATCGAACAATGTACTTCGGCGTCAAGGTCATGGTCATGGACATTACGGAAATCAGCTTCCATTTTCTGATGGTATTTCAGCCAATCAGCATGCAAAAATATGGAATCTAGAAACCTTTGACGATATAACAGACAAGCTGACATCCGGAAGATCAGTTTATGTGGTTGTTGACGCAACAACGTGTTCCAAATCGGGTTACCCTATTCCAAACAGGTTTCATTTTGGCATGCATATAGACAATTTTGAGATTTCATTAGACAAGAGGAAATTTCATGGTGACCTGTTAAAATTCTCTGCTATGAAAAAAGTTCTACATGAAAGTGGTAAGTTCATATATTTATTTTAGTAAGAACTAACAGTTCAAATGATCAAACTAATTGGTTATTGCTTGATCAACGTCAAGTTGCAAATATTTCATGCACATTGAGGAAGGAACAAATTTAAACAAATACAAACAGAACATTAGCTCAGTAAATTGGTTGACAGAGGGAAAGGGCTGGCAATTTTGACGCCATTTAAAAATGAGGTTAGATAGGGAGGAAATTTTGGCTTGCAACAGGTCACTGCAAGGTTTTTTGAACGCACAGAGGGCGAGAGCGCCGTATATACATTGTATAACCACCACGAGAAAAAAAACTTGGCTGGGTATTTATACATCCCACATAACCAGATCGACTACACTAGGGGGAGTTGTACTCAGAGACGGGTAAATTGGGTTGAATTTTTTATCCCGGTACCCTTAGGAGATCTAACTATAGTAATGATGATAACGTGAAAAGTTTTCATTTGTAACCGATTTAATTACTTACAATATATGCCATGTCGTAGTGGCCCATGTATACCGAAACACGTTGTATTGTAGGAGATTTTAAAGAATTAATCTCAAATATGCACGTTTTTTTTTTATATTGATACACGGTCAAGCATTGTAAAAGTTTTTATATTCTACATGATAAGTTTTGTTGCCAGTATTCTTTGTATGTGCTGCCGATTTTCAAATCACCATTTTTACGAATTTCAGATATAAAAGATATTCTACGAGAGGTAAAAGTGTACAGAGATGGAACTGTTGTAGTCGATTATTATATCATGGATAGTTTCAGCAACCACGTTACTCAACAAGCAATGGCTGTTTGTCGAATATACAACTCACAGACGAAGTAATTATTTATACATTATTTAGTATAGTATTTCCGATATAAAATATATTCTACGAGAAGTAAAACTGTACAGAGATGGAATTGTTGTAGCCGATTATTATATCATGGATAGTTTCAACAACCATAAATGATTTGACGCAACAAGTATTTTTCTAGTTTATAAAACATTCACAATCTATGTCATTTCGAGTTTTAGACCATTGTTTACACCCCCCCCCCTCACACAACAAAACAACGTTATAGAACTACGTTTACGGAATTGAGGTTTAAAAAAAGTAAGAAGATACGTAGGGGCTAATTAAAATCTTATAATAGGACAGACAACAATTGACCAAAAAGGTCCATAGCATACTACAAAGAAAGACTTGACAGAACGAAACCTATTTGAACCTGTGTATTCCAGGGGTATGCAGTTCCCGATTCACTACTCACCAGTGTTACTAGTGCATGGTGATGTCCAAAACAAATACAAATTTAATTTATTCAACATGTCAGTCCTTACAATAGTTACTTTTTACTAAGTATCGTACGTAGAATGAAGTATAGATCTGGAACTAAGTTACCTGCATGTTAAAATGTCCAAAACATAGTAAGAAATCATATCGTAATGGGGGCCTCGGTGGCCGATAGGTCTAAGTAGTTTATCTAAACAACCGCCAGCCTGTCAATACTGAGGTTGTGAGTTCGAACCCCACACTTTGCAGGTGCGTTAGACTCCGATCTGGCGGTTCTCTCCGGATAGATAGTCAGTAGTGCTTAAAGTGGCGTTAACCACCAACAATCAATCGATCATATCGTAACATTTAATACACAGTATATTTCAAGGATTGAATGTTTAACAATATTTCATTATTTTTTGCAGAGACGGTCATGTAAAATTTACTTCTGATCCATTCAAACTCGTTAAATCAGTAAAATCTTTCGGCGCACTCCGAGCAGCTCTAAAGAAAGGACGAGACGCCAAGATGGTGGTAGATTTGACAAAATGTTCACACACACTTGACAAAACAACGATCATTGGTGGAACATTAAAAGGTTTGTGATTTTTTTTAAGAGACAACCCTAGATTGCAAATATAGAACTCTCAACGTCAACAAATTGACATTACATAAGACGACAACAGTTCTTAAATAAACTGAAATAGTGGTTCCTGTTCCCGGGACAACGGTCTGGAACTTTAGCTTACAGTTGGATTCACTAGCCATATTATATAGTGGTTTTGCATTCGATCACCTGTCTATTGAAACCACACAAAAGGCCAATATGTACACATTCTTTAGGGTGATAATTCTCTAATCGACGTTCATGCTTTCATCAATTTCAAATTTCTCACTATGATTAATATGATTTTTTTTACGAGACAACCCTAGATTGCAAATATAGAACTCTCAACGTCAACAAATTGACATTACATAAGACGACAACAGTTCTTAAATAAACTGAAATAGTGGTTCCTGTTCCCGGGACAACGGTCTGGAACTTTAGCTTACAGTTGGATTCACTAGCCATATTATATAGTGGTTTTGCATTCGATCACCTGTCTATTGAAACCACACAAAAGGCCAATATGTACACATTCTTTAGGGTGATAATTCTCTAATCGACGTTCATGCTTTCATCAATTTCAAATTTCTCACTATGATTAATATGAATCAATTAAAAGCTCACTGACATCATTCAACAAGAAATTGTTAGTCTTCTTGATTTTATTCAAAACTCTTAATAAATAGTTTTTATTTATGAAAAGACAAAAAATGATACGTTCATTAAAAATCACTAATCATAGAAGAACAGACAACCCAGTGGCAAAAAGAAAAAGGAACAGTTTAAAAAATAGAAAACGAAGGAAAACACGAATCGAAATCCACCAAAATTCGTGGGTAACATCAAGCGCTCCGGAAGGTAAAACATTTATTAAAACAATTCTGACTACTGGCTCTTATTCTTATAAAGAAATGCACTTGGTTTGAGAAGTAACCTTTTACTGGATTTAAGTATATAAATTAAAATGAGGTTCGGGTGTGCTGGTCAACTTTGATATTTGATAACATTGTTTTAAGGCATTGGGTTATAGATATATTCTTTTTATTTCAGATTACGATTTTTTAAATTCTGGGAACACAATAGCAGCAACAATTGAAAGAATTCACAGCAATATGGATACAGAAAGTATTATAACGTCAAAAAATGCTTTTGCTTTGTTTTCCATAAATAATCGTATGACATTGACATTGAAATCACGAAATATTTCTAAAAATAGTTCAGATTTTTTTCTGGACAAAACTATACAACATCGATGTATTATAGGGAGAGACACTAAGAAAAATGGTTTAGGTCTATTTTACTCTCAGTGATTATTGACCAATACTTGTTTTTTTCAGTCGTGATAAAGTACAGGTCAGAAACCGATAGTCTTTCTACAAATTTTACCAATATAAACCCTTATGTAACTGATAAAGGGCACATTTCTACAACATCCAAGTTCTCTTGTTTTCTTTATAAGCAGTATAAATATACTATTGAAAATTCATGATCTGGTTGTAAATTACATAGAACAACATTGTACGTTTAATAACTTATTACCACGATAGGTTGAACGGGTTTATGTTCCGTCAGTTATTGGCAGGTGTTTTACTTCTCCTTAACTGCGAGTGAAATGGAAAGCTATGTTAAACATTAAAACATTTTGTTAATCGGACAACAGATCTTTTTCATATATATATATATATATTCGGCTAACTTCCATGTAAATCCAGTGATCAATTATCAATGGTAGTTTTATAAAATAATTGAATTGATAGTGAATGTCTCATACATTCTACGAAGTATTCATTTATTCGGCAGTTTACAGAAAAAAAACAAATTATAAATTTTGTCTTCGAGTCATTGTGTAATGCGGAGATTTTATTTGTTGATTGTTATATAACCATGATTCCTTGTATATAATTGTTATATTTATTAAATTATTTATTTTTATACATGAATTGTTGTTTACAAATTTAAGAGTGACACTAATGATTTCACACAACTACAATTGAACATTAATTATTTTAGGTTCAACGAACAAAAGTGAATCTCCAGAGTTTATTAATGTGTAAACTTGACCAATTTACCCACACACGAATAAAAACATCAATAAACTCTGGTTAAATGCGTTTAATCCTTGTAATTCTTTACCTGTTTAATACTTTTAAACAGTGTAAATAGCCGTTTGTATGTGTATCGTGAATTCTAGTTTGTTATATATTGGTTACGATTGATTGATTGGTGTTAGCTTTACATCGCCTCCAAACAAAATGGCTATATTGCGACGAGAGCTAATTCAAGTATTTTTTACTATTGTTTACGAAAGAAGTCTGATGAACACATATTTAAAAATAACCTGCCACAGATATCACAACCGGAGTGAAGTATTCCTAATTGTGCCATTCATTATCTCATAAGGGTCGTCAATACGATAGGTAATTCTGCAAAGCAATGGGCTAAACGAGAGAAAGAAGACGTAGATACTCTTTCCGAATAGATTAAGGCTGTGAGGTCGTTGATACAAATCAGAATTAAGAAACTAAATGGGTCTATCAATACCCATGCTACGTCAATCTTTAAAGACCCAAATGTTGCAAAAAACGTGCCCTTCCTCCATGACAAATATGTTGTTGTCCCCGCAGATAAAGCCCCAAACAACATCGTTTTTGTGTGTAAATCTCATTACATAAACTGCTTGATAAATGAATTAGGTATTGACAATTCACTTGGAAACTCAACGTATTCCCTCACGACACTTACCAAAGAGGAAATCCTGGATAATCATAGGTCCCTTTGGAATTTCAACCAAAGATGAAGAACTGGATTTTCCATCACTGTATTGGATACCTAAACTACATAAGTGTCCTTACAAACAACGGTATATTGCTGGGTCTTCCAAGTGCTCCTCTAAACCTCTTTCTAAATTATTAACATCTATTTTATCAGCAATCAAAGCCGGGCTTCAAAGTTATTGTGAAACTGCCTATTCTAGAGGTGGCGTGAATCAGATGTGGATACACAAATATTCCAAAGATATTTTAGAGTACATACAATCTAAGACTCTCTCATCTTGCGATAGTATTAAAACATTTGACTTTTCTACACTTTACACCAGTATTCCCCATTCCAAACTAAAAGACAAATTGAAAGAGTTAGTATTGCTTTGTTTTATAAAAAAGAATGGCGAACGTAGGTACAAGTATCTTGTCTTGGGGAGGGATAAATCCTACTTTGTAAAGAATCACTCTGATTCAAACAAAAAATTCTCTGAAACTGACATTATCAAGATGCTTGATTTCTTGATTGACAACATATTTGTTACGTTTGGAGGACGTGTTTTTCAACAGACTGTCGGCATTCCAATGGGAACCAATTGTGCCCCTCTTCTTGCCGACTTGTTTCTTTATTATTATGAGGCTGACTTCATACAGGAACTTCTTAGGAAGAAAGATAAGAAGATAACAATATCCTTTAACTTTACTTTCCGCTATATAGATGATGTTCTTTCACTAAATAATTCAAAATTTGGTGACTATGTTGAACGCATCTATCCCATCGAACTAGAGATAAAGGATACTACAGATACAGTTAAGTCTGCCTCATATCTTGACTTACATCTAGAAATTGACAATGAGGGTCGGTTGAAAACAAAACCTTACGACAAAAGAGATGATTTCAGCTTCCCAATTGTGAACTTTCCATTTCTATGTAGCAACATTTCAGCAGCGCCTGCATACGGAGTATATATCTCCCAATTGATACGATATTCTCGGGCTTGTATTCCCTATCATGATTTCCTTGTTAGAGGGTTGCTGCTCACAAGAAAGCTATTAAACCAAGAGTTCCAAATGGTGAAGTTGAAATCATCCCTTCGTAAATTTTACGGACGCCATCACGAGTTGGTTGTCCGTTATCGAATAACCGTTTCACAGATGATATCGGATTTGTTCCTTATGTCGTAATTACAATCCACTTCCTTTTTCACCACGAATGTGACCTACCGGATTTGTAATAACATGTGCAACACGACGGGTGCCACATGTGGAGCAGGATCTGCTTACCCTTCCGGAGCACCTGAGATCACCCCCAGTTTTTGGTGGGGTTCGTGTTGCTTAGTCTTTGGTTTTCTATGTTGTGTCTTGTGTACTATTATTTGTCTTGTTTGTCTTTTATTTTTTAGCCATGGCGTTGTCAGTTTATTTTCGATCTATGAGTTTGACTGTCCCTCTGGTATCTTTCGCTCCTCTTTTACACAATATTGATGTACATTTGGTAAGATGCATATAAACTGTTTATCCATAAAGCTGTATATAAAATGTACATCTGTTGAAATGCCTATAAATTGCACATCCGTGCAAATGTACATAAACTGTATATCTTTTAAGATGTATGTACGTCTTAACAAATGTACAGCTATTAATTAAGCATCTTTAAAGATGTACATATTATAAACATTTTAACAGACACACAGTCAGTTTATACGTAGCTCAACAGATATACAGTTTACATATTTATAAATGGACAATCTATATACTTCTTAACAGATGTACATCAAGATGACTTGTACTTATGCAGCTGTGTGTTACATGGTTTATGAGATGATGATCGATTGGTGTCTGAGACGGTCTTCTGAAATTGGGGAAATGAATACCAATATTATCCCACATTTTGTGACTGAAACAAGAAGAGCTTTATATAGTTTTTGTTTACGTTTTTTTAATTGTTTTGTGTGTTGTGTTTGCTGCTGTTTTCTTTAGGAACGAGTTACTGCTACTTTTTGCAATGTTGTTCAATACTTATCATGCTTATAGGGATTTTAAAAAAAATTTATCAGAAGATAAAAAATGAACGTACTTCGTTTTGAGGGAGGTCAAAACATTAGTCACATCCCTTTGGTATTGGCTCCTACGGTTATGTTTATATTCTAACGCTTCACTGATTATACGTGAACTGGTTTAAACTATCTTAACAGCTAGTGAGCGAATAACACAGTGTGTGTGAGTAAACGACAGGTATTGGGCGAATAAAAACAGTGAGTGAGTGAGTGAACTGAATAGTGCGCGAGCGGAGAAGAGAGTGTGTGTTTGTGAGTGACCGAGAGCGTGTGTATTGGAAAGTGAACGAGAGAGCGAGAAATTATGAGTGTTTGTGCTTGAGCAAGTGAATGAGAGGGGTTGTGAGCAAATGTGAATGAGTGGGAAATAATGTTACATATCAGTTTAATGACTATTTCGAGGACCTGCCCCCTAGGTCATGGTCCAGTGACTTTGAATTAATTAACAATTTCCAATGCTAAGTTTTCTGCTTGAGTTAGTTTGATAGGATCTACTTGTGATAGATCAATGATATTTTGAATGCAGTCACATTATTATCTGTACATATCAGTTTGAAGATTATTTTGAGGCCCTGCATCCTAGTTCATGGTCCAGTGACTTTGAATTAATTAGCAAGTTTCAATTTTAAGTTTTCTGCAAACGTTAGTTTGACAGGATCTACTTGTGATAGATCAATGATATTTTGTATGAAGTTGCATTACTATCAGTTCATATAAGTTTGACAACTATTTTGAAGCCCTGCCCCTAAGTAATGGTCCAGTGAGTTTAAATTAATTATCAATTTTCAAAGTTAAGTTTTCTGCTTAAGTCAGTTTGGTAAGAACTACTTTTGATAGATCAATGATACTTTGTATAAAGTTGCATTACTATCAGAACATATCAGTTGGATGACTTTTTTGAGGCACTTCCAACTAGATAATGGTACAGCGACTGAATGAATAAACCATTTTGCTGTCCATCAGATTGTCTTTTTCTGAATTATATGCCAATAGGCGAGACATATCTCTGTGTCACCAGTATATTTGAAAGTGAATGCGTACAATTCCATTTTATTTAACGTTAAACAGGTATATAAATACTCAGGCATAAATGATCATCTAACTGCAAGATTTGTTGTGCAATTAAATTTAGTATAAACGTTATGGTTATGAATCTGTTGTTCATCGGCAAAATTTCATTCATAAGGTTTGTCAGCTGCAAGTGAATTCCGTACATATATGTACAAGTAGGTTATAGCCACCATGGGAACAATAAATCCCCTGTAGGAAGCGCTATATATATCGATGTAAGTTAAATATTGCTATAACAGAGTACATTCACATTAAAACAATAACATTCATAGTGATATCGAAAGACAATTTAATTTGCGTTTATTATCATATAATGAAACATTATCCGAATAAGTAGAGCAACTCATCATAGATACTAGGATTACAATTAAGTATGAAATGTGTAGTTCAGTGGACAATCGATTGATGTTCCGATGAGTAACAATTATATACTGCTTATTTTGAAAATAATGTGCAAAAAATGTATGTAGCATAACTAATACAAGACTAAAGACTATATTCAAGTCACAAAATATCATCTCAGTCTTTTTATACAGCCTCCTCTATCTCGACGATGTCATCTGATATTTTCTAGCTAATAATAAGACGAAGAAGCTGGAATAGTCTTTCACATACTCAAAGCGTGGTGCTCTTATCAATACATTCTAAATCAGACTTGAAATGTCCCAATGTATCTATACATGCCGAACAGCCAAAGTATTCACCATCCTGAGTTTTTCTGTGCACAACAATAGAACCAGTGCTTATTTGGCGTTTGGCGTTCGTTTGGTATTGTGATGAATGTATAAATACGTCGTAACTTCTGATCGACTTGAAGTGTTAAACCAAGTAAGATATAAGAACATTGTTTTCAACAACCCAGGAACCTTAGCCTACAATTTTACTTTTTCATCGGAGAATACGATAAATAATAATCTCTCGTTTTTATTTTGGGCTTTCGTTTTAAAGGATTAAAAAATTTGTCAAATGCTTTCTCCGTGATTTTCATTTTGACAGCATTCAAACGACTGCTTTACTTTAAATCATTTAGTTTTCACTGTTGTAA